GTTGGGCTAGATGGGGTTGGACTGGATGACCTACAGGGTCCCTTCGCACTCTGTTCCTCTGAATCTGAATTGTCTTGACTTCTTCTGCAGGTACATCCTTCCCAATCACATGTTGTTAAAAATAGCCGAGGAGCTGCCCAAGTAAGTCTCTTGATTCTACAAGCAGGTATCTTGAGTAAGATGGGGTGGTTCAAGGCTGATATTGTTCCCTTTGTAAGTTAAAACAAAAGATTCCTTCACCAAAACCTGCTCTCCCTGCTTGTCCGCACCTTTAGAGAACCCCAGGGAATCATTGCCTGCTGTAACCCAGTTCCACCTCTGGTCCGCCAGCAGCTGAACGAAATGCATCTCCTAATAGGCCAGGCTCGAGAGATGCCACTGTTAAAGGTAAGAGGTAGTGTGACCAATGGCCTCTTTCATTGAAGTAATGGAGCAGAGTGGCTGTTGTGGCCCTCCAGCGGAGATGGCAACAGATTTGGACAGTGGGGAGGTTGGGGAGGAAGATGGGCCAGTCCTGGAGTCTGGGGAAGGCTCTGATGAGGGCTCTGTGTCGGAAGCAGAGAGGGGGCCAGAGCCGTATGCCAGTTATCAGCTGCCTTCAGAGTCAGACACCAGTGAGGCAGAAGAACAGCTGGAGCCGGTTCCCAGTGTGCGGATGCACAGAGCTGCCAGATGAATCACTAAAGAACAGGGGTCGACTAGGGAGTAAGGCCACAGGTGGACGATGATGAATGGCCCCTCCCAGGGGAAATAAAAGAGGAGCGAAAGGGGAGTGGAGTTTGCAGGAGACCATTAGTTCGCTTCATTAGTTGGTGACTCTCCGAGACTCCTGGCCAAGTTCTGCAGATCTCGACCTGGCAGCTCTCCAAGCCAGATAAGGTCTGTGACTGTAAATCCTCCCTTGAAAGACTTTGCTGGATGTGAAGGAGAAGAATTCACAGGAAATGAATAAAAGGGTTTTTTGTCGGGACAAGGAATTTTCTACAGGCTCTTGGGAAGCCTCACTCAGAACAGTGGCTAGCCAAAAGAAAGAAAGAAAAATGTTTGGAAACCCTGCGTTTAAAATCTATCTAGATCAGGGGTCCCCAAACTCCGGTCCGTGGGCAGCCACGTGCCACGAACTGGGCCACGCAAACAAGCGAAGCCCCATCCGCGGGATGCAGGCAGCGGGCGAAACCACGCCCCCTTCCAGTCTGCGGGAAAACCTCTCTCTGCGGAACTGGTCCCTGGAGCCCCAAAACGCTGGGGATTATTGCTAGATGACTCTTTTCCTGCAGAGTTTATGGACGTTCTCCTGGAAAGGAGGAAGGAAGAGAGCGTTTATACAGGCAGTATTTTTTTCCTTTGAATTCCTTTCCAGGTCAAGTTTCCTTATTAATTAATTTATTTATTTATTCATTTACTTTGTCCCCTCGTAGTCAGAATGTGCGGTTGGCGTGAGAAGGAAAGAGCCTTTTCGGAATTTAGAGGTATGTAATCTTGGATCTTGGAACTGGGGTGGCTCAGGGGATAAGATGCTGAGCTTCTCGGTCAGAAAGGTCGGCAGTCCGGCGGTTCGAATCCCTAGCGCCGCGTAACGGAGTGAGCTCCCGTTACTTGTTCCAGCTTCGCCAACCTCGCAGTTTGAAAGCACGTAAAAAAGGAAAGGAGAAAAATAGGAACCAACTTTGTTATTCTACTCTGTTTGTAAAAATGGAGATGAGCAACCTAGAACTAAGGAGAAATTTTCTGACAGAACAATAAACCAATGGAATGGCTTACCCTCGGTTGTGGGAGCTCCACCACTGGAGGCCTTTAAGAAGAAACTGGGTAGCCATTTAGGGTCTCTAGCTTGTGAAGGGGGAGAGGGTTGGACTAGAAGACCCCTGAGGTCCCTTCCAACTCTCTATTATTCTGTCTTTTGGTTTTGTCAGAAGCCGGAGAACTATTTGTTTGGGCCTCATGACAGCTCCCACAGTGCCCAGGACGAGAAACTCAACCATATGGATCACGGTAAGTTCTGGAAAGGGGGAGGAGGAAGCATCTTTAGCCCATGAAATGTCTTTTGATCATGATCACGCTTGGATGCAAATCAGTGGTGGGTTTCAAATTTCTGTAGGGGTGCCCTGCTTTGTAGGAGTGGCTGGCCGGCCCTGTGACCGAGTGGGCGTGGCCAACTTGTAAAATGTGGTGAAACTCACTTAACAACGCTCTTGCTTAGCAACCAAAATGTTGGCTCAGGAACTCTGGCATTTGAAGCACGCAAGTCTTAAAGCTGTCAAGTTACAAGACCCTGGCGCCCCTAACCCTTTAGGGAAAAAAACAAACCCAGGGGTATTCAAACTTGACAGCTTTAAGACTTGCG